ATTGTAGACCTCCTGTCAAAAGTGATCGAATTCTTGGGGCTACTAATAAATAAAAGACCGATCACTATTCGTAAAAACCGTTAGTCATTTTTAGTCGATTGAGCTTAAAAGTATCCGGAGCGGTCATATCAACGCATTTTATAGAGCCAGTGAGCGCTTCTCGTTGAACAATCATCGCTCTCAGGCCCGTGTCCTTCAGGAACCTCCGGGACCAAGTCCAGCCAAAGTTTGTATTATTATTCTAAGGAGCGAAACATGTCATTTTAAAACCTACCGACTAAAACTCGTATATCGTGCTGACGACAAGTGGTTCCAAATTTAGCACGAGATAAATTTCAATTATCAGAGCTCGTATAAAAGATGGGTAGAACTGATTTCCCAATGATGCAGAAACGAGTTTCTATCAAATGTTGAGTACTTTGTTGCTTGAAACATGGATATATGTATTAAGAATTGGAGCAATATACGATACTTGTATGTATCTATTTCATACCTGTGATGATAAAAAATTTATATAACTTATTGAGTGAGGCTTTATCCCACATGTAATCGATAATTCTTTCTGACGAGCGATCACTCTCACGCGTGCAGAAGTTATTCATGATATTTTATCGAACAGATCACCATAATTCTTTTGAATTTTGCATTAAGCGAGGAAACAGTATGATGTATGTTTCGCCATATCAAGGAACGTACACGGTACAAGACTGATATAATTAATTACAGGACGCCACAGCTCACTGACCCGATGTGGCCATACGAACGCCGCAGAAATGGCGAGCACAAAATCAACTGGCTTGGTCTAATGCTACTGTGAAACAAGTCGTGACGCTAAATCAGATTTCTTAATAAATTGCTAAGATTCAAAATTCGATATTCAAGGAATTTTGTCAACATAAGGTCGAGAAGGGAATCTGTTATCACATTTACTCCGGTAATAATTTTCTGCTCGAAATCCTCGGCTAGAACTTCTGTATGTTACTAAATACTGGAAGCACTCAATTAACAACGGCTGGAAGAAATATATTAAGGTACTTTTAGCTTCAAAATGAATCTTTGCAGAATATTTGTTATCTTGGACGAAATACACTTTTGTCAACGTTTTGGAATTTTACGCTTAATGCGATGAGCGCAGGTTGGCCACACAACCCCTCTTGTCATGATAACAATCTAATTCGACATTGTTTCACCCGACGCTGTATCCCCTAAAAACTTCGATAATTTTATGTAAACCTACTCATTATCATGATTTTCAAATAATTAATTTGGTTCTTCTTGAAATCAATCACCATTCTGACAAAAATTTAACTCGTGAAAAAAATATAAATAAATTATATGAAAGCTTCAAGTCTCACAATGCGATCAACACTGATCAGATAATTTAGCAAGTGGATTTCACACAAAGCAGCTACATCATAAATCCATTGTAAGCTCCAGTGAGAACAGTAACTGCCACCACCTGACGACTTGCGTTTGTCCACCTCGCTGTGGACTAGTTCCTTACTTGGTGATATTACTGTATCCAATCACATTTTGCAAAGCATCATTATTTTGAGATGCGAATTGATCGACGCCACAGGATGTATATTTGGTTCGTGCGGTGCAGAGCGACGCAAACCGATTTGATAAATGTACCCACGTTATCACTACTCGGTTTATATAGGGTTTTACGCTGAGAAGAAGATCCATGAGCGTATTGGCCGGGTCGTTTGTGATGCTAATTACAAAGCGTAGCTCCGATTCAAAGGTTAACTTTTTGTGTTGGTGTGATTGCGGCTTGCTGTGCTTGTTATACATTGATCAGTCTGCGCTTGACTAAGCTAGAAAACAAAATTGCGGTATCTAGGAGAAAGAGAGTAGAAGAGGATTACAATCGGGTGGCTTAGTTGCTTGCCTCACGTCATCCAATTTATTTTGTTTACGCCTAAATACAGAGCATCAAACATACCTAGTGGTACCTCTCATTAGACTAAATTATAACCTGTGCCATTTTGACTATCAAAAAATAGCAGGGAGAGATTTATCAACTTCAGAGGCCTTCGACGCAACTTTGAGCGTTCGTTTGTTCTTTGTTTGAGAATTTCATCCGCGCAAATCGCACAGCAGAACCATTACACTTACAACACATGTCGTCAATTCGACGACCGAAAACTAAAGATCTACTTTTTTGGGATAAAATAAAAACTGGACGATAATTTTTCCTTGTACAACTTGAAATGCTTAGTACTCTCAAATCCATGGATGGCTCCGAAGTGATAAGTTATTAGGCGGTCAAACGGACGTGAAGGGGTGATCGCTCGAATGAGGGCACTCATCAGCTATGAATATACACTGTTGAGGCATCTTTCGTAATGATCCAAGCAATGATCGGTGGTAGCACAAAAAGACGCCCACCGTAGGGCCGCTAATACTAGGCATCTATTTACTGGAATTTGAGACTAAAATATTCCTCGCTCTCTGGGTAACAGAATGCGATGGAACCGGCTTGCTCCAGACGGATACACAGCGCGTTCCCTAATAGTCTCCAGTCGATAAACTGCGTGCGAGGACGGGCACTAATCTGCAGACACTTTGAAAAGTTTTCCTGACCTGAGTATGAGCTAAACAACATGTCATTGCTCGCAACGCCTTAGCAAACGTACCGTGTGTTCAAAATGTCTTGTTTACCCGTCAAGAGATAAGAATTGCAAACTATGCTAATGGCGATGAATATTAGCTATGCGAAAGCAGATACGAGTAGCATCCTGGTACTTGCAAGTGTTTGTATCAAACATCTGCGCATAAGGTGCTCCATTGCTATTAGCAGAGAAATCCGAAGAGTCGTTCGACAAGCATCTTACGTGGAAGAGCCGAGTTTCAATAGACGAAGAATGGCCGCAAGGCTCTCCTGTGCCTCGCAGAGATTGTGATCAATAAGCCTTATACGCTCAAGGAGCGATTGGTGAAGAAGAGGTGATGCACGCAGCCCAAGCTTGCTAATTTTCCACACCAAACGTTAAACCTAAAAAAACAAGATTACGCTGCTATGTATGACACACTATTGTTAGAAACATCTGAGAATACACCAAAGCATTCAGATCCCAATTTTGTATACACTTACCGTGTATCATGCGACAGAGGTACGTTCCATGTTACTTTTAACAAATTCTTTGTGTCGAAGAGCTTTGACACCATGTAAAGTTGTGTCATACCGGACACGTATCTTATCCTAGGTATCACGTGAGTTGAGCGCTATGAGGCATAGATCGACTGAAAATTAACAAATTAGACTGTGCCGCGCACAGTCTCTGACGAGTCATTAGTTCACTTTTGATATGGAGGAGAAGCGCGTTGACGCGGATATGAAACATCGATAGCTTCGGCACATGACATAAGAGTATCCGAACTAACACGTAAAATAATGCAGATTGTCTTGAGAAATTTTGTATGGCGTAAGCAGCAGTAATACGCAGTCTCCAGAACGACTGTATCTGACATTGGTATAACGCGAAGCCCAATCGTACTTTCAACGATACGCTTGATCATAGCTGTGACTGGACTTTTCTGTGCCTTTGCCGGTAAAATGAAAGGAGGTTGCAGTGCCAATTGTCTCGGAGCCCTTCCATACTAATTGTATTTTCAAGGATTTTCCGACTGACAGCTCAAATGCAAATCGATGCGGGTATGTAAGCGTGATATCAGCTATCAATCTCGCTAGTTGAAAGCGGCTAGGAAACACAAACCGCTAGTGACCGATGTATTGTTGTCGTTTGCATTCCTTATCACAAACGTCAAGTAATATTGCCAATTGTTTCAAGAACGAATATCATTTAAGAGCTTCGGCGCGCTTCCGTACGCTCAAACGTTACCATAACGCTATTTTTGTGAAATTCGACACGCTTAAGTCAGCTGTCGCGGAGAAAGTACTGTAGATTAATGTACTTGCTTACAAATTCCAAGCTGATTTTCAAAGTTCAAACGACCGCAAAAGCAAAGAGATCCTACGTAATGGTTTTGATGCATAACCACGCAGGGGTCTACCAGTCTCAATTTTCGCCTTCAATTTCCTGAGAATATTTCATGGCGAAGAGTACAACTTGATAATTGTTGATTGTGAATCTCAGAGGTGCTCCTATTTTGGTTGGAGTTGCATTTGACTGCTTAGCGTGTTTTATCTTGCTGCTCTCAAGCTGCCGTGTCTAACAAAGTGACTTTGCATTTTCATAGTAGTTATCTTGAACCGCGATCGATGAGTAACAAGACTGATGAGCTGACTGTTGGAAACCATATCCGGACGGCGGTTGAAGTGTCCGTTGGGCAGGGTGGCCCACGCGGAG